AGCCCCAGGATCCTGGCAGATTCAGCGAATAGAAGTAGATTTCCTCCCAAGTAAAGGACTGGATTACTATGCAAGTGGTATATCCTACAGAAATGCACACCTAGATGTAGGCGTTGAACCCTGTTGACATACTCCATTCGTGGAGATTGTTATGCACCAATTGAAGTTTTATCTGGATCACACTGATGCTGCTGGACGAACAAGAGATAGCAATATCATCCACAAACAGCGCCCCCTTACAGGTTCTCACACGGTTGACGCTATACCATTTATGTCGATGGCAAACAGAGTGACACTCAGAACCGATCCTTGAGGGATACTATTTACTAGATGGTGACTGCTAATAAGTCTGTCACCAACACGAACACAGAAGAATCTCTTTGAAAGGAAGTTCTGGAGGAATGAGGGATCTTCCCCCTAAACCCCAGGAGTGCAGGGTTTGCGGAATGTTGTACCTCCAAGTGGTGTCGTAGGCCTTTTCTATGTCAAATAATGTGGCCACATGTCTGAAGATGAATGATGTGGAGATAGCTGTGCCAACGAAACAAGGTAGTCTAAGGTTGACCAATTTCTTCTAAACCCGTTTTGGATTTGGGCCAACAGATTTCTACACTCCAAGGTCCAGACTAACCACCGATTCACAATGCGTTCCAGCACTTTACACACACAGCTTGTGAGAGAAATGGGTCAATACGTTGATGTATTGACTGATCTTTCCCTCCTTTGGGAACTGGAATGTTGGCTTCTCGCCATTTAGCAGGGATAGAGTGCTCTTCGGAGAAAACTGTAGAGCCGAATGAAAAATTGCAAGGCCGTTTCAGGAAGAGGTGTAGCATTAGGTTATGGATTTCATCTGGACCTGGGGCAGTTCTTTTTGAAAGCACCAAAGCAGAGCGCATTTCACACATGGATAATGGGATATTGTAATCCTCCTCAGGGGTTTTGCTCGATAAGCCCAAAGCGAGATTTTTCCATTTCTTCTTTGAGTAAAAGAAAGTCTAGAGCATAATTCATCGAACCTCGACATGTGCTTAATGGGCCTCTACAATTGCGTCTTGGGATGTGATCTTCTCACCATTACTCAGAAGACCCGTCACTGAATTTGGGGAGGAATATCCCATAATTTGACACACTTTGCTCCATACCAGACGTAGTGGCGCTTGACAATTGAGGGAGACGCATGCTCTTCACAACAATTACTTGTTTTTAAGAATGGTTTTCCTCATCTTTGCTCTGCACCTCTTGTAATCAATTAGATTATCGACGGTTGGATAGTGCTTCAGGAGCGCCAATGCCTTTTTTGGGCACTGACCGCCCCTAAGCAGTCCAGGTTCCACCATGGGACTTATCGGTCGACTTGGGGATTGCGATATCCGCGGTTTTTAGTACAACAGAACATATTTCGTTCACACAGTTAAAGAAGCCCTCAGACCGACTGACATACTCTTGAAATTTCAACTAGTCACCCCATTGAGGGGATCGAGCAAACCCATGAGCAAGCCCATCTATGTACATGATAGTGGGGTAATAGTCGCTTCTATACATGTCATCTAGAACAGACCATTGTAAGACGGTTGCAAGTGATGGGCTGCAGAGAGCCATCATCTGAGCACGTGCTCGAGTTTGTGGCGACGTCAAAATGAGTAGGTTCACCTGAGTTCAAAATTGTCAAGTTCAAGGTGTCTATCACCAATTCCAATATCTTCCCTCTCGGAGAAGTGGCGGATGAATCCCAGAGAACTGTGGGCATTTAGATTTATTCTGTAATTAAGTTTGAGAACTTGGGAGGCAGAATAAACTATATTAACATTACAGAACTTAATCACTTTACAAATTAACGTGAACATTTCACCGTGAAATCTTTCATAGCACTCCACTTCACCACTCATCACTTCACTGCGAATCACTGAGCTATAATGCCTTTCTTACACACTCGTTTCCCTCAATTTCACAACTTCACTGCACTACGCCAGTGCACATAATAATACATAAAATACATAGTTACTTACACTGAATAATATTAAAGATTTATAATACACATATCAACATTTAGGAAACTAAATTATTTTTAAATTTGCTCAGGCATCGAGGAAAAGGATCGAATATTGTCACAGGCAAACCGTTCCAGTCTCTAATACTTCGATTCGCGAGCGAATATTTTTTCCAGCGTCCGTTTTCTGAATTCTTATATGAATTTCGTGTATGTAATCCGCCCTGCCGAAATATGTAGGTTTTCCTAATCGACGTTGAATTTTTCCACGCTCGAAGGCCTGTGAACGCTTTATATATAGCGTAGAGACGTGACTTTGATTTCCCCCTTTCGAGTGACTCCCATTCTCCTTTATCCTTGGTACCCCTGAAAGTAAATTTTCATGCTCTACGCTGGACCTTTTCTTTATTCCTTTGCCATCACAGACTGTCCCGAACGGAGAGGGCAGTTGGTGTATCAAGCCCAAATGTTCGTCGGCGGATACACACTATAATGGAGGGATGTAGATGTTACAAACAGTGAGTATGAAGGGTGGGATATGCACTTCAACAGACACTGGAACTCAGTCTGATCTGGAACGGAGAGCAGCGAGTCTTTGATTAAAGTGGCAACTCCGCCATGTGCGCAGAGGTAGTGATCAACATCAGTCCTACATGTGGTAAAACCGCGAAAGGATCGCGGGTGCGGTGGAACAAGATGCGTCTCCTGCAAACAGAATATTAAAGGCGTATAACGGGACAACAGTTTCAACTTGCGAGGAGAAACCATTCATATTCCACGATAGGAGAGCCATAATGGTATATTTCCTTTTTCTTCTTTCGGCGTCGTGTCCCGAATGGGCAAATTTCCTCCTCAACAGGAGTTTCCTCAGATACAGAATCCTCCTGGGAACTGCCAGGAGATTAAAAGCTTGCTCTTAGCTACTATTCGGAGGAGCAGATTGTCGGGCCTTTGACGACTAGAACTTAATAGACTTATCTAATGTAGATACCTGACTGGCATCAACTTCTATCGAGATATTTTTTTATGTAGACGATTTCGTACATTGAGTCGGCTGAGCTTTTTATCAGGTTTCTCGTATTTGGTAGGTATGATCACTCTCCTGCCTCGCAGGAGTGCGGTATTCATATGGAGGTCCACTGGGGGCACCTAGCAGGCGAAGTTCACGACTTAGGAGGGATCTCGCACAGTTTGGCAGCTCGCTACCAACGGTGCTTTTCTTTCACAGCGCTAGAGAAGGACCAAGAAAGGTCAATAGGGTTACTTCCCTGGAACTGACGTATGGCCTCAGAAAACGACACCTCAGTGACTCTGATCTTCTGGATCTCTCTTCACTCAAAGGTAGAGCATTGCTTGGGGTTGGACGAATGGTCATCTTCGCAATTTACACAATGCGGTGGTTTAGCGCAGGGTTCAGCATCGTGCATCGATTTTCCGCACATCGGGTTAACTGTCATGCACCGCTATTGTGTATGATCGAGGAGGTGGTAAGTGGTGTGAGATGTGTTGTGGAGGTTATAAAACCCTCAGGAGATCCTTTCTGGGAGAGATGGAAGATCGAAAGACAGAATCAGGGTAGAAGTAGGGATTTCTCGCCCATGATCCTGTAAACGTCCGCCACACTCTAGCTCTCAAAAGAGACTAGTTTTTCCACACTCTCTGCAGCAAAATCCTCACGGTTGACCTCTGCAGAGGTTATGAGTTGGGTGTAGGCACTTTCATCTGGAGGCACAATATACAGGAAAAGATCTCTACAATACCATAAGACATCCTTTAACGAATGAACCAGAACTTGTTTAGGAGACTTCAAGAATACGTCAGAGCCACCGGCGAGCAGCTCCATCATCTACTAGAACGTGAGTACAATTTACACTTTCCAGTAGCGAAAAGCCATCTTTCGCCTTCGGCGATTCCACTGACGACCCTGTCTGGAATTTCGCGGCATCCGTGGGCTCATTCGTTGAGATAAAATCCCGTGCAACCGGCACATTTATAAAACGGTTGCACTGTGTAATTTAATAATCAAATATATTTTGTCAGTTGGATGTATTGGCTGAACGATATAATTAGTGTCTAGTGTACAAGTAGTCACGATGACATTTTGATATTCACATTAGATTTTTGCTGACCTTAAAACCACATGAGAACTGATAAAACAAAGTTTTTCTAGCTACTGAATTCATTATGCATTAGCTGGAAACATTACATGTCAGGAAAAATAATATGGGTGAAGGTGGTGTACCTTGGACATACAGTGATTTAAGTTTCACCTGTTGAGGTAGTTTAAATTCCCTCACAGTAATTTGATGACTTGCCAAGAGTCACACTAACTAGTTGGTGAGTGTTGCTGAGTTTTCCAGAAAAAATAAGAACTACTTGTTGCTTATTGAAAGTATTTGGCTTCTTGTTCTTCTCTAACCACTCCATTTGGCTTTCATTATTTAATGATAGTACAGTCATTTAAAGCATTCTCGTAGAAAAAACACAAGTTGGAATCAAGTTGAAGCCTGACCTAAAAATGGGTCATGATATTTTTGTGAAAAACGATCTGTTTTTACCTTGAAACTGTTCAATTACAACTGACAAAATTAATATAACCACAAGTTTTCAGTGCATTCACTTATTAAATAATTTGTTTTTGATATTGTTGGTAAACTTATCGAATTCTAGAAGATTTCTTGGACTATTGAATTCCATTTCAATACCCTACTCTCATAGCACTGTTCCTTCACAGTTGCTTGCTCCTTTTCCTTGCATTGTGTCTGCATAGGGAGGTGTATGATATCTCTTTTTTCAATGAATAACAAATTCCCTGACAATTTCTGTTTTTCAAGTTAGGTCACTGCCTAATTAACACTAAAGCCATGAATTAATGTTAATTTTGAGAAAAATTAATAATTTCAATCTTCATTTTCAAAAGAATTCACTGAACTTTACTTCAAACGTTTTCAATTTTTTATTAAAAATGTGTACAAAACTGGATTTTTAAAAAAATCTAGAATTGACTTACTTGTAATAGGTCTCTGCCTTTGGAGTTAAGTTTAGGCACAACTTGGGTAAATGACATACTAGGATGGTACACTGGGAAGGCCTTGTAATCTGGAAGTTGACTTATACCAGACCATGTTTCTTCAGTAGGTGTCCCCAAAAGTTTAAAAATTCTTTTAAGTTGGTCATCTACATCTGACCCTGGAAATAAAGGTCTTCCAGCATTTGCTAATTCTGCAAAATAAAAAAAAATATATTAATGAAATTGTTTCATCTCGGCGAGTTACCAAGAAAAAATATTGAAAAAATCTTGCTCAAAAATTCATAAGACTTGGAACAAATTCTCTCATATTGATATGTTGGCTCGAAGCAGGAGTGCCTTAGTATGAGTTACACCAAGGCAGTGGGTTTGAATCCTGCCTAAGACATGGATGTTTTCATAGAGGTGAAAATGATTTCCAGTTGCAGATGTATAACCATTGAACTCTCATCCTTTCCTTAACCTAACAATAAATACCCTATGTTACTCAGTGGTGTAGCGTGACTTGCGCATTTGGAGAACAACAATAACGGGAACTGAAGACATCATGATCATTAATGTTCTCTAGAATATATGTTATCGAAACAAATGTTACAATACTCCAACAGATTTATGTAAGGAGACTTCTTGAACGCAAATTATGCAATGGCTCAGCTTTAATTCTCATGTGCAATTGGCTATGAGATCACTTGTGCATTTATACATTTCAGACCAAAATAATATTTAATATATTAATAAAGTAGTACACGGTACACCCTCAGAGAAGCTTGGGGCGGAGGTAGAGGAGAAAGAGTGTCTCCTTACGCCCTTCCTCAAATTATGCTACGCGCTCTGAAAGAAATAAAACTAACGGATAGGAAATCGTTCAAACCGGCAGTTCGCGCCTCTCCGGCAAGGGTG